TCCCCCCCCGACGGCCGGGGTCGCGCTGGGCCTCCGCGCTGCCTTGTGCCCCCCGCGACCTGGTCGCGCGTAGTTTCCACTTCCACGCGAGGAGGGAGCCGATCGCACGGGGCTTTTCACGCGCGTGAGTTTTCCTCCGTGGCGTGCATAGCGTGTGACACCCCACCCCTGAACATGGGACCTGGAGACTCCCTGTGCAGACGGCGTGAGCAAAGTTAGCGGTCCCTTTGTTTTCCTCCCGCTGCGTGACAGAGCATATACATACGTGTGTGCGTGTGGGCATGAAAACAGGGTCTTCTCGTCAGCTTACGTGGAAGTGGGAACAGGTAACAGAAAATCCCCGAGTCTCCCCGTGCCACTCTTCAGTCATCTAGAAAATGCCTGGCTGTCGCAGCTTCCTGGTCCGCCTTCGGCACCGGCAGCCTGCAGTTCATTCAGAAGTCATCCTGACCGTGCACCTTGGCTCTTCCTTAGCGTTAGGCAAATAATTAATCACACACTGGAGACGGGCTGTGATCTGAGTATTTGTGTGAATTTGAGTGGTCAAGCCAGAAGGATTTATTAAATGACCAGCTGGCTAGGCTCCCTTGAATTAATTGCAGTTTCTGTTGCGGTATATCTTGTAGAAAACAATTTAATCTTCGAATTTTGGAGGCTAATGTACGGTGAACTGGTGTTTCGTAAACAATATTATAATAATGGCACAAAGGAATACAAACTGACTGTTGTCTCCCCTTTCCCCTCTAGTGTAGGTGAGGTTCATAGTGACCGTTGGTCATTTAGTGTCTGTTTAAGGAACAGCAGTGAGGGAAAATACCCAACTCAAGCTGAGTGCATTTATATGCCTATATAACTTTGCCAGACTTCAGCTGTTCATGTTGAGCAGTCTGGTACCTAATTTTGGATTTTTTTTTTTTTTAACAGAAGACTGTGATGAAATTTTTGTCCTACAGATACTTGGCTGAGCAGTTGAGACATTAAGCAAAAAATGATTGCTAGGCCTAGCACCTCTGTTTTGGAGGGAGGTATCAAGACTTGGTGTGGTTCCTATATTGGAGGTGGGCTTTTTACATCTTTTTTTCACTAACAACATTCAAATCTGTTAGTTTTAAATGCTGCCCTTCAACTAGAAATTGGGACTTGAGTTGCTGTGCCCTCATGAGGGGAGGAAAGTGTCTACCTCCAGTGCAAGGAAGCAAATTGTCTGGAAGGTTGTGGGAGAAGTTGACTGAGCGAGCCTGGAAAGGGGAGCTGTAAGCTGACATGAGGGGGGTGAGGATGTTTCGGGGGAAAGTGACCCCATAGCTAACATCTGTCCTAATGTACCCAGGCCTGTGATGCTTACACAGTACAGTAGGCTTGATTCGGGCACTACTGTTTGAGTGATCTACTGTGTTTTTTCTTCTGTGTAATTCTGTATAACAGAGGAAGATTGGGTTTTAGCTTACCTGAAAGTGGGTACCTCTTAAGGAAATGGCATGCTTGAAACTTGCTTCAAACTATAAACTATGGTACCATAATTCCTTGAGAACAGCTCAAACCAAAAGGCCAGCGATGGGAGGGGAGGAAGAGGGAATCCTGGGGCTCTGCTAAAGCACCTTTTACTGAATTCCTTTCTATGGACAAAGGTGATTTTTTATTTGTTTCTCCCGCCCCCTCACCTCTTCCTCATTCTGCCTGGCTCACCAGTTTTTGAATTCAGCATAATAGTTGCCCGTGACTTCCGCTAATTCCATCTTTTATCTATAAAAAATATCTTATTCCATCTTTATCTGTATCTGGATGTTTTCTCTTATTCTTGGCATATTAAGATAAAATAAACATGTCTTGTCTTGCTAATGAATATTTAGTGTAAACAACAGAAGGAATAGCTAACAACTCTGAGAACGAAAGCCAACGGCAGGAATAGACTGTTAGCATTTCAGTGCTTTGGAGCCAGCCGGTCTACTCAGTGCATCTTTTATTCCTGCAGCATTGACTGCTAAAGAGGACATATATAGCTGCTTATTTTATTGCAGCTTTCTGTCATTGATGCTGATGACAATGTACAGGGAACAGTGTTAACTGTTGTGCAGCAGGACTTAGCAAGGACTTTGCACAGTTGTAATGTAAGTCATTTATTTGAGCTTTTAGTAATGAGAAAGTGTTTCAAATGTAGCATTTTGAATGTTTTTTTGCAATTTTAACGGAGTGTTGTAGGAGAGACATTACTTTTTTTAAAGAAAGAAGAAGCCTACTTAAGATGATCCCTTTCATCCCTAAAGCTGAGTAGTTACAGTATGGAGTAGCATTTTAGAAACAAAAAAAAAAAGTTTTCAAAACAGGAAAAGGAATCCACAACTCTTAACTGTAGTATTACCATGTCTAGAGTTCTGTCTCTTTTTTAGTGGATTCAGTTAAGTGCTTGTGCTGCTCTAACCTTTAAGGAAAAGGAGAAAGGTATTGAACACTAGCAAACGGTGATCTTCCTGCTGGTTATAGAATACTGGAATTAAATGTGTAAATGATTGGTTTTAAAACACCTGATTAAAAATTGCTTCTCTCTAATCCAGTTCCATTCTCTTGATTTTGCCAGTATTGTCATCTCACAGCCCCTGTCTGGCAATAGTAGTTGTCTTTTGCCCCTAGATAACTTCCTTTGTGTTTAAAATTAATGGGCCTTTAAGTATTCCTTCCCGTAAAAAAATTTGACTGTGTTTATGAAAACCTGAGGGTTACAGATTTATTGTTCCTCCTTTAAAAAAAGATGAGGAAATACAGGTGATGCACAATGAGTACCTTGAACTTTGATAGCTGAAGCTACTGAAATTTCAGCCTAGGATATATCGAACAACAACAACATGAAGTGCAAATGGAATTCTTTCCCCTGGCCCTTGCATCCTTGTGTCTGTACTCTGAAAATATATATTGGATCCAGTAAACTCTGCATATGAAAGAAAATAATTTTTCGTATGTCTTCCTTCTTATGTGTATCTCTAATTCGGGTTAGTAGAAATATAAGGGACTTAGAGTAGTTATCCACTTCATGCTTTGGGTAAGGCAGAACCAGTAGTTATTTGCACTGTTTCTGACAGTTGTTTGTCAGATATGTTCTTGGCAAACTTGGATGTTGAGATCCCTTTTGGTTTTTGTTTTGTCCTTTTGGCTTTTGTTTTGTTTTCGTTTTCCTTCCAGTTCATGATTTGGAGTTGCATGTAAGAAGGAAAATGGGAAAATTTGACAGTGCTGTGATAGATGTTTTTAGTGAAAATATCAGCTGTGCTGATGAAAGGGTTATCCAATAAATCCAAATTGGTTGTGTATGTTCAGTTTTGATCCATTTTTACATGTCACTGATTTTAATTCTAAGGATAATGCGCTTGCTGAGGGAATCCTGTCTGAAAATGCAGCTTGAATTTGTAATTTTGAAGAAGGAAAATAGATTTGCTGTGAAACGTAGAAATGAGCAATAAACATTTCCTGATTATGAGAGTGAGGGGAGAGGGAGGAAGTATTCCCACCTGGTGAGTGATTTGCTGATTTGGAAAAGAGTAAGTGACTTCAGCACAGTTGAAGAGGGGGACAGCAGGACATTCACAACACAAGTCAGGAGAACTCATAAGCCACATCTTTGTTTTTGGAGTAGAATATGTGACTGGGATTTGTCCACCACTACCTTCAGTATGGAACAGAAAAATGTGGAATTGCATCCAGCTGCTAAAGATATTAATGATGTTGAAAGATTTTTGCTGGAGGATCAGATTGATTAGTGCTGAATTGAGGTTTTTGACTCTGTGTAACATCAGTGGAATGGAATTATAGCAGGATAAAAAGCTGCCTAATTCATCACAGTTTAGAGGCAGAATTAATATGTGCCCTGTAGGCATGGCACAGTGTCATCAGAGGATCAGAAGCGGCAGAAAATACGGAGATAGAAGCTGATAGAAAAGAAAAAGGGGGGGGGGGAAGGTGAGGCCCAAGATTTGGTCAGCTGGATTTGAGCTCTTTGCTCAGTATGTTCTCCACATGGATCAAAGGATTTATGGTACTTGCTGCTCATGTCTTGTAATCATCTACAGCTTACATTTGGCTATAGAAATACTAGTAGGTTGTAACATTGCAGTTGGCTGTTGTCAAATACCAGTTAAATACCCTGTCTGTACATTGGCTG